TAATGAGTGCTCTCATTGGCTTTGTGTTTTAGTCCTGTTTCATATGAGCACATGAGCATGTGTTTTCCTGTTTGTGTCAGGGTAGATTCTAGAAAAAAATGTTAGAAGTAAGTCTGTTCTCGACAACTTCATGAACACTGATATATCTAGGCACTATATTTTTAAATAAACTGCATATTGTAGGTCTAAGCATGCATATTTTAAAATCTTAGAATGGTAATATGTTATTTTATAAATAAAAAGAACAAAACAATATTACAAGTATAAATAAATATACACAATGTCTTACAGGCCTGTTTATAATCAGAGCAGTACATTTTGTTGAACACACAATGTCATGCATTAGCTGTCAGCTTTGGAAATAAAAAGTCTCCATAGCTTTAAAGTTACTCATTACTAAACTGTTTATTTGACAAGTCATCTCAAAGGTCCCAAATGGCTTTTGTACAATAACAAGGGTCAGACCTACTGTCTTGCAAATAAGCATTTCAAATAGCACTCAAGGGACAGGGAAGCAAGGCCAGAGTGGACTGAGAATAACATAAGGTGCCACCAAGGGCCCAATTATCTTGTGTCTGTTATTTAGACTTTGTCCATGATTTGCCACAAGTGATATCATACATATGGCCAATTACAGCTTCTGTTTACAGAACACTAGGTCAAGTTTATTACATCACTTTTTTTTAAATGTATTAATTAATGATTTAAAAAATTAGGGATTTAAACGGTTTAAAAGTTTTAAAATGATAAAACTGAGCAACATTAAAAGAAAGGTAAAGGCTATGAATAACAGCTGACCTTGATGTTGCATTTTTGTATCTGCATCTTGCCCAGAAAAAAAACTGCACTTGAACCATAACACTAATTATACGTAGGTATTTTTTAGCAATGTTTCCATACAGCTATTTTTATATACATTTTAGAGTATTGCATAAAAATGCTTACTGGAAAAAAACAAGATGCACATAAATGTATAATATGTACATTAAGAAGCTTAACTTAAACTGACACCTCACTCCCGAACCTATCCCCCTGGTCTCTTGGATTTTAAGGGACAAATGTTTGGAGGTATGATTGTCGTAAATGCTGGAAGTGTTACTCGAATGTTGTGTGCTTACACATTGTCTGCATGAGGCTGGTTGGATGTACTGCCAAACTATCTAAAACATTTGGAGCTGGCTTATGGTAGAAATGTTTAAATCAAAGGCAACGGCTCTGGTGGACATGCTTGTAGTCGTTATGCCAACTGCACACTCCTTCAGAAATTGCTACATCTGTGCAATTGTGCCGTTTTATAAAACTGCACATTTAGGAGTGTCATTTTATTGTGGCCAGCCAAAGAAACAACTGTGAAATTATCATGCTGTTGTAACCCCGCCAGTCCTACGCCACCCAACCCGCTCCGAGCTGGTTTCGAACCGGCAACCTTCCGCATAGGAGTCAGGTGCTCTACCAAGGAGGCTAAAGACCATGGCCTCTAGCATATGTCGCTAGAGCACCTTTAGAGGTCAGAGGAGTGAGGTTTACCTGCACAGCACACACTAGCTGGCCTCCATTACACTCACCCCCCTAAACCTCACTCCCATCCGGGTCACGGCACCAATGCAGCCCCGCCAGTCCTACGCCACCCAACCCGCTCCGAGCTGGTATTGAGCCAGCGACCTTCCGCATGGGAGTCGGGTGCTCTACCAAGGAGGCTAAAGACCATGGCCTCTAGCATCTGTCGCTAGAGCACCTTTAGAGGTCAGAGGAGTGAGGTTTACCTGCACAGCACACACTAGCTGGCCTCCGTTACACTGTCTAATCAGCATCTTGATTTCCCATATATGTGAGTGGATGGATTATCTCGGCAAAGAAGAAGGGCTAACTAACACAGATTTAAGATATAATCACACCGCACTTTTCACCCCATAAACTTCCATTCATACGCAAGCAAATGCAGCAGACCAGAAACGCAAGCTTGTGCGACAAGTTTTGCATTTTTCTGCATTTGAACGTTTAAGCTTGGTGAACTCTGACCTGCAAAATCGCATCACATGATTGTGTGAAACCAATAGAAAATCAAAACCTTACTACTCCCTGCTAAAAAATCCAGCTTAAACCAGCCTAGGCTGGTTTAAGCTGGATTTTTCAGCAGGGCTCTGTACAGAAAATGTAAAATAAGGAGCAATCGCTCGTTTTTATCAACATCTAATCATATTGTTTTATTCCGCCCCTTTTCGCGGCACCGTAAGACAAAATTTCGCAAGCACAAACTATAGTGTGACATTGACTGTTAAGGTGTGAACACTATTTGAGGGACAACAGGCATTTTATATACATAAAAAGTGTGAGATCTTTGAGTTCAGCTCAGGAAAATTGGAGCAACAAAGTATTGTATTTATATATTTTTGAGTGTTTATAATAATATATAGAGATGTGACATTGTCAGTTTGAGTTACAATATCTAAATCCGTAACCTCAATTTAATGTTACTGTGTTCAAATTTAATGTATGTTTAAAATGATGGGTTAGCCCAACAACATTTTGAGTATTTCAAAATATTTTAATATGTCTGTAAATGCAAGTCGGTCTGTTTCGAAACTCGGTCCTGGAGGGCCGAGCCTGATCTCACGAGAAAACGTAGGTATTTTACGTTTTGCCAGTTTAGTGGCTAATTCGTACAAGTTCAGCCGTACGAAATTGTACGATTTTAAAAAGGAGGTGACACCTAACCCCACCCCTAAACCCAACCGTCATTGGGGGATGAGCAAATCATACTAAAATGTACTAATTAGATTGTACAAATTCATGTGCATGCATGTGGGCTGGCAGTGGCACCTGTGTGCTGTATCATGACAGATATGGGGCAAAGATGATGTAATCAGATATTGAGATATTTTTATAGGTGATAATCACTAAATAATTTTTAGATGCCGCCAGCCATATGCCAACTTATTCTCATTAGAATATTAGTAGACTGTCTGCTTAATATCTGCTGACACTGGTCCAACAGACTACAGACTCTCCTCCCTATAAGACACTTTGCAAGAACATGGCAACTTAGACTAGCCCTTACCCCAACACTATCCTTACAGTATACTAATACTCAAATGAGAATTAGTTGACATGTAGTTGCAACGTAACTTAAAATCAACAATATAGTAATGCAGGGGTGGCCAGCCCTGTTCCTGGAGAGCCACCTTCCTGCAGATTTCAGTTGTTACCCATATCAAACACACCTGAACCAATTAATTAGGACCTGAACACCACGTGATAATTACAGACAGGTGTGCTTGATATGGGTTGCAACTGAAATAGGACAGGAAGGTGGCTCTACAGGAACAAGGTTGGCCACCCCTGTATTAATGGGACCGTCAAAATTTGTATAGTGACCTTGTCAGTGGGAATACAGTTTATGCATGGAGCTTCACTTAGATGCTTCTCTGAATCAGATGTGTTAAATAAGAGAGAAATTTAAATTATGCAAAGCACATGCAAGGCCTGTGATAGAGAACCACAGGTTTAAACATAGTGTATGGATGGTTAAAGGTGGTACCTTACCTGCTATGTTTTCCTATTTTAAAATCACAAAACAAATAAATACATTTGCTCAATTGGCAGAATGAAGTCCTATTCTGTATTTCTTATATACAATCCCGTTAATATATGGTCAAGCATATACAGTTGAAGTCATAATTATTAGCCCCCTTTTGATTTTTTTTTTCTTTTTTAATATTTCCCAAATGGTGTTTAACAGCGTAAGGAAATTTTCACAGTATATCTGATAATATTTTTTCTTCTGTAAAAAGTCTTATTTGTTTTATTTCGGCAAGAATAAAAGCAGTTTTAAATTTTTTTAAAAACATTTTTGTGACAAAATTATTAGCCCCTTTAAGCAATTTCTTTCGATAGTCTACAGAACAAACCATCGTTATACAATAACTTGCCTAATTACCCTAACCTGCCTAGTTAACCTAATTAACCTAGTTAAGCCTTTAAATGTCACTTTAAGCTGTATAAAAGTGTCTTGAAAAATATCAAGTAAAATATTATTTACTGTCATCATGGCAAAGATCAAATAAATCAGTTATTAGAAATAGTTTTTAAAAAACTATTATGCTTAGAAATGTGCTGAAACAATCTTCCCTCCATTAAACAGAAATTGAGTAAAAAAATAAACACGGTCGCTAATAATTCAGGGGGGGCTAATAATTTTGACTTCAACTGTACTTTGAAATTCATAGTTTGGGAAAGGCAATCATTGTAGCTGCTCACTGTGGATCACACATTTAAATATTACAATTTATTAATTCAGTGGATCGGTTTAATTGTTTATGGACAGAAAATCTTACAATGTTGACCGTTTACTCAAGAACTTAAATATTCTGCTTATATCACATGCTGTAAAATACAGTATAGATTTTTGTTAGCATTGTTCAGAAGGCCTATATGGTAGGTATGAAATTAAGACTCAATAGAGTAATAGTATGTTTACTTAGTATATGAGCATTACAGACATCATACAGCTTGTGTTTTGATTAGTGTTCGTGAATTCAAATAAGCCATCATTTACTAATGTGAAGAAAAACATTACATTTTTACATCATTGTACAGGTTCCTATCCCTATTAAGATGTTTTACATGTTCTTACAAAAACATTTATGCTTTTTATAAACAGAACAACCAACGCAATCTCACGGCAATTCGTAACTTTTTGATTTAGTGGCTAATTCGCATGAATTCGTACAATCTTATTCCTACAATTTAGTACGATTTGCTCATTCCCCAATGACGGTCGGGTGCCATGTCTCCTTTTTAAAAATCGTACAATTTCGTACTTAATTCGTACGAATTAGCCCCTAACAAACTGACAAAATGTAAAATACTTACATTTTCACGTGAGATCAGGCTGGAACAACAGATTGTATGTGTACGTTTGCTCTGTATAATCGATATAGTGCATAATCAATTCACTGTTTAAAATAATTGTCCATTTTCACAGTATAATTATGCATCCGTTATTTTTCCAAAGGAAATATATGTGCTTTGTGTATAAACTGCAGAAATGTTTGTCTTATTTCTTTAGTTCTCCATCCATAGATTAACGGATGTAGACAACTTGGAAAAAATAAGTACACTGTGCTTATAAATATACGATTGTTAGAAGAAAGATTGTTACGTATTCTGTATGACAAAAATGCAGTCAAGGCAGACGTCAAACTAATTGACAACACAATTAAGTGAGTAACACAAGTGTTTAAAGCCTTCATGTTAGCCGTTCCAGATTTCAAAACATAGAAAAACATGACAATATATGAGACAGTAATAAGAATGCAATCTGTAGCCGCTATAAGGAAAGCTGACAGAAGACCTACAATATTATTAGCAGATATATCTCCACATGCTAACTGAACCAATGCCATGTGCTCACAAAAAGAGTGATCAATTACATTTGTTGCACAAAATGACAGTCTTCCAGCCAGCGAGACCATGGTGACAATCAGGAGTGCATTTCTGATTACTGGTGCAAACACAAACTTAAGGAAGTTAGACATTTCCATGTATTTATGATAATAAAGAGGTTTGCATATTGCAAAATAACGATCCAGCGCCATCCAAAAAAGCAGAGTAACTTGAAATGATCCCACAAAATGAATGCCAAACATTTGTATCAAACAACCAGTTAGAGATATCCCACTCCAGTTGAATAGAAAGCTAAGAAGCATGTTAGGAACAAAAGATAAAGGCATAATCAAGTCTACAACTGCCATGACACCTATTAATACATACATCGGAGAATGCAGAGACCTCTGAGTTTTGATTAAATATATGAGAATGGAATTTGCTATGATTGCCAACATAAACATCAGAAAGAATGGGATAAATAAAAAAGGCCTCCATTCTCCAAGGCTGTAGAAACCATTTAATCTGAACTCAGTGAATGAGGTATTTTTTGCGGTAAGATCCTTCATGCTTAAAAAAAAGAAGCTTTTTTACACAATACAAAAGAATTTACAAAGGGGTTAATCAAGTGTCATATCAATTGTGTTGTGCCAATGAACGCAGAAGAAAAAACTTCACATGCATTTAGTTAAAAGTAAAAAAATAAAACCACGGTATGACAAGCTTAAAGTGTATATTGGAGTAAACAAGACATGCTAAATCTACCCACAATCATCAAGCTGTGCTCTCCACATTGCATTGCTAATTAGAAACCCTTTATATTTCCAGACGAGAAGTCTTGTCGCATTTGTTAGAGTAGAATAAAAGCTTGACATATCATCAGCCCTTAATACACAATGTTGTGTTCCCATGAGTCTGTAAACTACTCCCATAGAGGAGTACTATTTTTTTATGGTGTCAAACAGGATTACATTTTTGTCCAGTTGTTTTCTCGAGTTCTTGCATTTTGCGACCAACAATTAAAGATAATCACAAATGGAATGCATACCTCTTAAAGAAGTTTACAGTGGAAATGTGCAGTCATACAAAGACACATACACACGCATAGGTTTGTTTTCATATGCTAGGACAGGGCTGCTCAATCCTGTTCCTGGAGATCTACCTTCCTGCAGATTTCAGTTGCTACCC